CTAGCTGGCTCTGTCTGGAGTGTGGCTGTGCAGCCTCATTTCACTGAAAACAAAGACACAGCATGTCTTCATTTCAAGCTGGGTAGCCTGTTATAGTCACACTACCAACCCCCTTTAAGATCTTCAGAAAATCCTGGCAGCTGAAGCTGAGATTTGAAGAATAAAACCAGCTGTTTTTTTTTTTAATAGTTGAACAAGTTCAACAACACAGTGTCAATAACAAAACACCACTTGTATGTTAACAGGCTACACAATATCTGAAAACTATATCTGATATTTATGATGAGATTATCAGAGTAAAGTGTAATATGGGACAGTCCCACAAACCACTCTTTATCAAAATGCGACAAATAGAGACCAGAGTACAGTTGTTACAGCTGGAGAGAAGAACACTCAGGCAGAGTAAACAATTGGTGGATCCATTTTTTAAAACATGTGGCTGCACTAAGCACAGTCACAACCTACATTATGACTCATTTCTTAAACACATCAGATTTTTTTACTTTAACTTGACAGTCCACTAACATTACTTCACACACTTCTAATAAGGGCAATCAGAACATCACAAGGACATAGAATAAGTCAGCCACTGTTAACACTACTTGTAGTGTGACCACAGGTTTAGCCAGTCACTTCCCTTCCTGGATGATGAACAAAAACCTGTCTGGCAGAAACCATGTTAGGTGATGTGGCTCTGAGGGCAAACAGACGCAGCACAAGCCCATGAAGCAAACTGACAGATTTAGCAACAAAATTCCAATTGTGAACGGATGATTGGAGCGTTGCAGAGCTGCGCCAGTATGTCTGACCTCTGAGGCCTGCGAGGGCTACTTAATGTTGTGCCCACCTATACTAAAACTGTGCACAGTTACAAACTGCTTGGCCTGGAACGGCCTCTTCTGACTGCTCTTGCAGAAACACACAGAGATGTCTGAGGCTCCAGTGTTAGCCCTAATATCAACTTCATGTTCATTATGAAGAAGTCAGGCCACTGCCACAAACACATTTAATAGACACAACTCTGTAGAATCAGTAAAAATGGAAGAGTGAAGAAATCAAAGCAATCACTTGGCGTTCCTGTGTCTGGTCATTCACATAGCCGGAGACTCATGTGGGGTGTCCACTAGAGTGGGTGTGTGGTTCTGCATACATGGACACATAATTACACTTCAGTGCCACCACAAGAATGTTGGCTCCCTCAATAATCAACAACAAAAAAAAAAAAAAAAAAAAAAAAAAAAAAAAAAAAAAACATCCCCCACCCCTGACGTACACACACAAACTCCTCCCAGCCACACACTACTGAAACCACTGAGCTACTAAAATGACTCTTAAAGGAACAGTGTGAATATCTGGAAAATATGCTTGTTTGCTATGTTACCAAAAATTAGGCAAGAGACATACCACTGTTAGTCAAAACAAGATGTTTTTCAGCTGCTGAAAATGTCCTTGGACAGTGCAATGACTTCCTTCATAAACCTCTGTCAAACAACTTGCTGTTTACAACTGCTAGAACATTCAAATTTAACTGAAACATTTTCAGTAATTTCCAAAAGTAAAAACAATCCAGTATGCATTGTCAAACCTCAAATCATCGGGCAAAATTAATCTCTTACACCAGGTTATTAAGGTAAAAGACAGTAACTCCAATGAAGGAAGCTGCCTGAAGCTATTGCATTGATGCATTTGGATGCATTAAAACTGCCTTTTTGGTAACAGCAAATAACTAGAATAGTCCACCTATGGAATTAAGAAACTGCACATACTGCACTTTTAAAACAAAGTATTTTATTTTATAGTACCTTGTTTCTTATCTTAATGCCTTCAACTTATGTAATGTTCAAAGGTGCTATACAAATAAGCCTGCATTATCCAAGTTCATCAAGTCAAAATATTCGAACACTTCAATTTTCACACTTTCCCTTTTATTGTTACAGTGTTATGTGTAATACCTCTTCTTGTTTTGCCTGTTTTCTGCTGGGCTACAGGTGCAAATTAGACGTTTATCTCACCCTGTCACAGCTATGGTCATATTTTTAAAGTCCCAGTGTTTATTTACCCTAAAAATAAATAAATCCACACACTGTGCACACCACTTATTCAGCAAGAAATATTACCCCCAGTGTCAACACAAACATTATTTCCTCTTTTCCCAGCATCCAATTTGACACTCAGTGAATCTGAGAGCCCAAGGTTCTGCATGTGCATGGATATGAAACATTATATGAACCAAAAATAGTGGCAAGTTACCCGCTAACCTTCCACACAGCATGTTTGTGTTATTTACAGTCTGCAAGTATTATATTCTATTACACTCTACATTTCCCTAGAATTAATAAAAAAATTTTAATGCAGGATAAGGAAAAATGTATGTGGATGCGTGTTAGTGTATGTGTGGACTTACCAAGTATGAGAGCAAGCAACAGAGCAGCACAGAGACACGCACACATGGCCAGAGCTATCCTGTAGAGACGAGTGCTGCTCTTCTCGGGTTTAACCCCATGGCCACCTAAATGCTCCAGTTCCATGATTTACTATATCACACAAAAAAATAACACTCACACACACTAAAACTCTCAGGTGAAGAGTAAATAAATACAGAAAAACAGGCCAAAAAGCATAAAAACCTGACAAAAAAAGTGATTTATGGTAAAAAAAAAGGTGATTTAAAAAGTCATAGTAGCATCTGACTGAAATTAAAAATAACCTGAAGAATAATTTCCTTTCTAGTCACTTTGTTTCTTAATATAACAAAAACTTTAGTTTCCGAATCCGTTTCTCTCTGCTGCTATCTATCAGCAGCTACTCTAACTTTGCCGCAGCTCGTCAAACCGTTCCTCCCAACCCTCTTCTCCTCCCAGCCCTCCCTCTATAAATCAAGGGACCAGAGCTCCCAGTGTGATGAGCAGATACAATTTATTAAAAGCACCGACTAAAACCAGGATATGTTGTGTGTATTAGTGCCTGCAGACCATGTTAGTGGCATAAGCATACATGTGAAATGTGACTAATCTCATGCACAAAACAGCAGGGATCTCTGCCCCAAACATTTATCAGCTCAGACAGACAGGAGACCAAAACAAAATCCCCCCCACACACACACACAGGGCACTGATTACGATCAATTAATCTGATGACGCCTGTAAAACTCCATCAGTCTTTGTCACTGTGCATCAACAGCTCCTCTGAAGAGACAGATGTGCTCATGGTAACGACGCCATAGCTCTTGATTGGTGTTCAGCCTGCCCCCTCACTGTGGTGAGACTCTTTCTGCACATTCTCATTAGGGTTTGGGGCACTGGCCACAGAGTTCTTATATAGATTGGACTTCTAGTGCTGCAAAAAACACCCATTCATCAAGCAGACATGGACCACAGTGCTAGTGTTTTCCATTGTGATGCAATCATTTGTTTCCTGTTTTAATTCTGAAAATGTCATATCTGAAATCTCAGCTGAGATCCTTCACTCCTGAATTATCTTGGCAACTTAGCTAGAGTGCCATTAAAATTGCCTTAGCTCCCCAGTGAATAAATTCTACTGCCTCTGATAACCCTCCTTTTGTCTAAAATATCTCCACATCTACTTCAGTGAAATGGCTCTGACATTTGTACTGTAGATACATGATTGGTTCCCAGAGGATGCCTGTCAAACTCCTCTGACAACCAAGAGGTTGACATTTTGAAAATAAAATCTCAACTAGTATGACACAGAATGACATGTAATTTGGTAAAGATGTTAATGGTCCCCAGTGGATGAACTGTAATACCCAACTTCTCAAATTGTGTGGTCATCATGTCAAAATTTCAGCTTGTACAACAGAATTGTTTATGGCCAAATACTTGCACAACTAATGACATTTCCATTAGCCTTAGCTGTACTTGCATTAGGTGCTAATTACAAATGTCAGCATGCCAACAAACTAAAACAAGTGTACATGGTAAACACAAAACATGTTAAAAATAGACAGGCTAACATTGACAATGTAAAATATCAACATATTGATACGAGCTCTCAGTGGAAAGCACCACAGTGACTCTAGACTTGGTCCTGTTAGTATAAATAATGTTTCACAGCTAAGGGCCCACCTCTCAGTATGAACCAGACAGAACTTCCTTTCACCCCCTGCTTCCTCCTCTCCATTATCCGCCCATGTCTGTTTATCTAAACAGACCTCCCTCCAGACTGTCATTAGTGCAAGATAAGCAACAGGGCACAGCAATCATAGTAAAGGAAAATGAGTCTTTGAATCTGAAAACAAACACAAAAAAGACGCCAACTCTGAGAAGTTATACATGCAACATGGTGTGATCCTCTCACAGACGTCCATGATTATTCAATGATGAAATCTACAAAAAAGGCAACAATTTTTGAACCTGCTGACAGAGGTGTCTGCTTATCTATGGTAAACATACCCGTGGCTGAGCTGGAAGCCGCTCAACATTTATATGTTTGTGAGGAACACCCTTGCAAATTACGTGTCATCTGTCTCTCACACTCAGGGAAGGCAATGACTGCACGACCCCTTCAAAGCACTAAAGTAACACTGTGGTTTGGAGCCATTACTAAAAGTGTAGCCAGTGGCTTTTGTTAATTTCTGAGGAAGACAATGTGTCAAGGGTTTAAATTTAGAAAAGAGCTCTGTTTTGCAGTAAGGAAACCTCCAAAGTGGCACATCTGAATTAAACATGATTAAACGTCATCCATTTCTGCACTGCACAAAATGTAGTTTTTCTTCCACTGTACACATATTGTTCCACATACCTATTGTTAAAGTACATTTCACAGTTGCATTCACTGTACTGTCACCATATCTTGGGTAATACTTCACCACCCCATTTAGCATCGCTAAGCTTTATATAAACAATGATTTTCACTTTTATCTATAAGTAGGTATAAGGACATTTTAAGTACACTACCACACAAAAGTCTGGACACTTTCCCCATTCAGTTCAATGGGAAACTGTCTTTTAGTGTATTTAATCATTTACAGCATTGTCCACAATACAAACATGTCTCAGACATTTTATATTAGGAGTTTTAGTATATATCATTTATTATCCATGCGCCTCCCACAGGACAACTTATTGTTTGCAAATACATTAAACACTTGTATTACAAGTGTGTTATGACCTATTTACACTGCATTCTGTTTAATGACAAGCTGAATCTGATCTAATGCAAACACCAGTAAGTTTTCATATCACAGAAAAATAGCACCTCAGTTTTCCTTATAAGATCAGACCTTCACCCATCACAGCCTCAGGGTACCAAGAAGGCACAGTAATAAAACAGGGTCATCTGTTTGAAGGTTGGATGCATGTCTGGTGTATAATATCAAGACTCACAGAAATACTCCCAATCTATGTGAAAGGTTTCTCCCACAGTCCGAAGACCGAGCGTGGTAGATCTGGAACGTCACGTAAAATTGGCTGTAGGTGCAAAGTGTGCTTGTCAATGATGAAATACTAGCTGAAATTCTGTAACAGACTAGCCACCATGTCTTTAACTGAATGTCTTTACCTCATAAAACTGGAGGTAAGTAGGTGAAGTTGTGCCAGAAACACGACTGGGACCTTTCACCTCCTCCAACCACAAAGCAGTGCCCCCAGCTTCACATCACTGACAAATACAGTGTGATCAATTGGGTGGACTACAACAGCAACAAATAAAAATACAGTTAAAATAAATAATTAGTTTTACTAATAGCTTGAATTAGACCACATGTAAAAAATGTTTAATTTCAGTTTTGATGGGTCAACGATGTACAACTAGAAAAGACACAGAGGGCAACAGAATAACAATGTATACTTTGAGAAAAATCAGGATAATGTTCATAGAGAAAAACATTTTCCCATAGCAATGTCATTTCAAAAAAAGGGACGTCTTCACATTTTTTTGGGGACATTACAAAATGCTGAAATCATCAATTCATTAATAAATACACAAACTTCTGAGGAGGAAACTATACCGTCACAATAAAATTAGGTAGTACATTTTCCAGCAGTGATGTGTGGTAATAAATCCAGGTATTGCCATGCATTAGCCAACAAAATTAAGGCTTTCTCAATTTTTTACCTTAAATTAGGCAAAGACAAACACTTTGGTGGTGTTCAGTAGGAATATGGCATTGCAGAATCAAATTCTTGAAAAACCAAGATGGTTTTCTCTCAAACCACAAACACAACACAGATAAAATCTGGAAAGTGTGTACAGTCACATGACAGCGCTTTTGTGTATATGGCGGCAACAAGTTGGAAGAAGTCAGGTGTTTGTTTTCCCTAGTGGTCTGGTAAGGGCTCAACAGCAGAGCAGTTTTCTACTCACCGGTCTCCAGAAATTGGGCAGTACTGCTGGGTAATGCAGTGTGTTCTCTGCATATTCATAGTTTGATGGTCCACATGTCTCGGGCACATCCTGAGAGAACATCTCTCAGTCCAGCCAGGGATATTAGGAGCAGCTCACTGCTGTGGCTACCGTGCTGTGACCATCCACAGGCCCAGTGCCACATTGGCTGCCAGCAGGGCACTGCCCGCCAACAGCAGGAAGAAACCAATTAGCTCACGCTTCTGACGGTCTGTTACCACAGTAACCAGCGTGGCCTCCAGCAGAGCGTTTAGCATCCACTGACCGTCGAGGGCAAAGCATGGCACAGAGTTAACTACTGCTAACGCACCAGAAAGAGACACCACATACCTGAGAGACAGGTTGTTAAGGCTCAAAAGTCACTGTCGAAACATTCCCACTTTTAATTGAAGAAGTTTATTCACAGATGTATCCTAGTGTCTCCTGACAGTATCGGATAGAATGTATTACTGCCTTCAGCTGACGAGAGAGAATATTTAAAACTTAGGACTTGTATTGTGGAAACTAAACTCATTATTACTTTAAGACCTGTTTTTTCCTGACTATCCACAGAAAATCTGAAGTTGCAACTGTGCTAAAATGAAACAATCAGCAATTTTAAATATTACAAATCAATAAATTAATTTGATATGCACCGAGTTGCAGAAATATTAATGCTGCAGTAACATTATTTAGTTCAATTCTCTTTGTAGAGCGCCAAATCACAAAAGTCGCTACGAGGTCTTTAAGATACAATGAAGCCTTGTCATTAAGGGCTTTGTATGTTAGAAGGATTTTAAATTTCTATTCGGGAATTTACAGGGAGCCAGTGGAGAGTATTTTCGCACAGAAATCAGAAATGTCCACACGGTTCAGCCATTTGAGGCTCCGACGGGCAGTTACCAGACTTGTGAAAATACATCGGGTTTCTTTACATTTCATACATTTAAAACTGTGCGTTATTCAGAAATAAGATATTACAGATTGTTTGCAGACCAATCAAAAATGATACAACCATTTTCAAGGGGGGAAAACCAGATACAGACAGCACTCTTCTCATCACCTCCCTCCTCATAAATTCATCACCTGATTATAACTGAAGCAAGGTCCTCTAAAAATGAAAGGATACTTGCAGAAGGTCTCCAAAAAGACAGGCAGATCCAGGTGGAGGAAACCAAAGCGGGGGACAAAGTTGGTCAGACTCACTAAGACAAACAAAACAGAAGGCGGTTTTATACTGGAGTTTATACCATATATGCACTTAGAGTCATTAAAAGCAATAAATCAGTCTTTCACTGTACTTAAAGCAGCATAAGAGAAGAAAAGTCTCTTCCTTGTTCCTGGGGGGCTTAACATTAATCACCATAAACTTGTACGTACCAGCGTACTGAAGGTGCGGTGGATAACCCACAAACAGCATGTGTGTGTTGGGTAGGTGTGTGACTCGGATGAAGCGGGTCTGGTTTTCCAGAGAGGGAGTGACACATAGGCTGGCTGTGTGGAAGCCTGCAGCGCAGTCGTCATCAGTACGACACGCTCGCGTCCCCGTCACCATCTTACGCACCGGCATGCAGGCGTACTGTAGCCGCAGGTTTACAGAAGAAATATGAGAGGAATCAGTATATAAGAGTTTATATTTTGATTTTTTTCATTTATTGAATGACACTTTCCTGTTGTCTCTGATACTGATGTGTCTTTGTCATCTTGTTTTCTTTTTCATAGCAGTAATAAGATAATGTTATTCTAATACTGTCCTTCTTGATGTTGTGTCGATTTATGACAATGGTTATCTTGATAGCCGTCTTTTTCCATGACCTTTATTTTAAAGTGCGCTTGCGACACTGTCACAAAATGTGTCATATTTAGCAGCCAAATAAAAACAGACTGGAGTACCATTAGCAAAGTGCAAGATAATCAAAAGCAAATGTCATGGAAGGATACTTTTTTCTTTCTACATTAAAATTTTACTTTCCTTTTTTATTTATTGTTGGTCTTTCTGAACACATTAAGTAGTGCAGTTGCAAACAATATAGCTCAAAACAGAAATAAAAGTCAGTTAATAAATATGCTTGCTTGTCTGAAAGGGTTTGAACCCTGCTCATATTATACACAAAAACCAGCCCCAGCCTGTGTGTGCATCACCTCTCTCTCTCTGCTCTTCCTGTGCTCCGGTTTAATGTAAGAGAAACAGAGGTCTGTTAGGCTGTTGTTGCTGCAGCAGTCCATTGTGCCATCCAACCGCTTAAAAGCTACAGCAGAGCGGGAAAAGGATGAAGAGAGCGAGAGAAACAAAGAAGGAGAATGATTCAATTTGTGTTTCTGGCAAAGGAACTGAAACTCTTGACACAGCTCTCTGAACCTGTCACATCACACATGAAGCTGGATGTCCATCAAGTTCGTGTTCACACTCGATGATTAAACAAGGCCAGCGTTTCAGACACTATGACCTAATTGAGATACTCCTGCTCACTCCTGACTCATTACCAGGACCTCTAGGTGTTTACTCAAACAATACGAACACATACAGTATATTAACATGCACATGAACACAGTGTAGGGCTGCATCAAGGAATTTTATCAATTATTCTGCTGATTATTTTCTTGATTAAATTATTAAAACACATGGCCAATGCAACTTCCAAGTGCCAAAAGTGACGTCTTTAAATGTCTTGGTTTGTCTGACCAACACTCAAACCCCCCAAAATATTCAGCTTGTGATTAAAAACTGAAAAAAGCAAACAAGTGTAAATATTACAGAGCACACTGCTGTCTCTTTCTGAATCTATACTTAGCAGCTCATTCTTCATTTTGTAAGACTTAATTTGACCATCATTTAAAAAAATGTCTGTTCTATTGTGAGGAAAGTTCTTTTATTTTGAAAAGAGAAGACTAATAAAAAGATATATATTTCACTA